AGTTTCACTCTGTCTGTTTGTAACGTAAATCCACCGTTTTGGTCTCCATTAGGGTCAGATCACCTCAGGGCTAATCCACGTTAGGGTTGTCACGATACACTAGTTTTTTTAATGTTCCAAATTGATTTTGTGTTGTAGCCGTTTGGAGTGATTTCTGTTCACTACTGGATTATGAAAGGCTTCTATAATGATGATGTTAGGTTAGATTTCTATAATATAAATTAATTATTTTAATCTAGCGGCCTCCACAGGTGACTATACTAATAGAGTTGGCACAAATCTTTCTTATTTATAAAAACGCCCAATAAACCTATTTTACGTTACCAAATCACTATCTTTTCTTGAATCAATAGAACGTTTCAAAAGTCTGGATAGTTGAAATACATTTTTAGATTTTATTTTTAATAATCACCGAATAACACATATCTATAGTAGATGAAGACAGATAAATAATAATAAAGAATTTCTGACAACCACCGCCAGAGATTCCTGACTAAACTTGTATATAGGTATCTAAGTATTTAAATCAGTTGTCTAGTACCCATAAATTTTGACTAGATGGCGCTGTTTTAATTTTCCAGGGTTATTTATTTATTATTATTTAGAATATGTCTGTAGGATTAAACAATTTTTCTACTCAAAAATCGTTGAAATCAGTCTACTTGAATAAAGATTATTATATGCCTATTTCTTAGGCTCATGTTAAATACAGATCACACGTACATATATTTAGACTATACCACACTACAGCACAGCTTACACTCCCTAAGGCCCTGAATCCGATCTGGCATACCGTACCTCTGCCGGAGGTAAACAGTCAGTCCTCGTTCCGAGGGGAGATTTGAGCGCCGATGCAGCAACAAATCAAAGCATGGATAAAATATTACGTTAGCCGCATTTTTTATTGTATGATTAGGCCTATTAATTTTACAAAAAGACTATGGTTTGCTTGGAAAGAAATAATTTTTAGCGTATCTTTGACGCCTCCGCATGATCGTAATCCTTCGATGGTCTTGTCATATAAATGTGGCGAATATCATATCTGATAGATATGTGAAGCGTTATATAAACTACGGGAAGTCATCTGCTTAAGCTTGATAGATACCTATACCTATGCTGTGCCGCTATAGAATGACATATAGCTTGAATAATAAAGTGGTTGGAACGTTTCTCTTATATTAGATGTGTGTTACTATTTTACAATTAGGTTTATTTAGGTCAGCATTGGAGCGATCATTGTGCGAACTAACTGCTCTAAATAGTGATATTTGTGACTGCAATTAAGTATAATATAAATGTAATATAGTTTGTTTGTTATATTTAAAATATCTAGAATTCATGAGAATCGGACGAAGTTTCTAATGATAATATCTAGATTTGGTGGAACGGTGTTAAATTTTACTTTGCAAATATTTTATTAATATAAGAAAATTTATTAAGGTAGATTTTGAAGAATCTCACCAATTTCAGTTGCCAAGCAAGGTGTTTTATATGTTGTGTCGGGTTTCGGTCGAAGGGTAAGATGATAAAGTAAAATTACAGGATAAGAGTAATGACATATTAGTATGGAAAGGCAACGCCGCCTGCGTTGCGTTTCATGAGTGCATGTGATAAAGTGATAATGATTCATTTACTTTTATTATTATTCGGTATTTCATTACGGTTACCTGACATCCTGTCCGCTCGTCCCGGTTCGTGCTACATTTTTCATTGCAATTCCGCTTCTATTGGCATTAGCTTGATGTTCTATTACCTATAACTAGTTGAAATTTTCAAAAAGAAATTTGTCTGATAATGGAATAACGCATCCGCCTGCGCTAACAACTCCATATAAATAATATTTGTATTTATTCTATTAAACAACCAACCAGGTATTTATGTCTTGTAACAAAGCTACTACTACCTACTTTGTACTTTGATCTCAACATCTGGCAACCCTAATTGTTGGACATGTTTATGCTATAATAAGACAACAAGTAACTTTGTGTCCAGTAATCACCTAGGGGCACGTGTCAGTCCGAATTGTAGCAACAAGCATTACTTAATTGTATATTCACTGAAAACCAAAGCGTATCATGTAATTTTCGTTATTGAAACAATCATGGTACATACGATTTATTAGTTAACTTAAAGAGTTGACTTTCAACTCTTTCCTACTTCACGTATTTATAGAATAATAATTTAATTTTTGTGGTACTTATGTCCCCTCTTGACGTTGTTATTGTTGCATTAACTGTCTGAACTGTGTAGAATAATCTTTTACGCAGTATTGAACACGTACGAAATATGTGTAATAATTATAATCATCACATAAACACATGATAACGTCATACACTGTACAGATTATAAACGGATAGACATATATAAGGTTATAAGGTGACTGTGATTGCACATTTTCCTTATAATATAACATTTCCAATAACAAAGCAATTTTATTTAGTTTTTATGGTTATCTTTGATGTTAACCGGTCAGCCCGGGGGTGGAAACAAAAATACAGACAAAACGGAGTGCAGTAATTACTGCATTAGCTAGCCCTTCTCTTGTTGTCTCGGAGATATGGCAAATATATATACGTATTATTATATTGTAGAATAGTTCTTTGATTTTATTATTGGTGCTTCTTATGAGCACAATAAAAGTAATATAGTCCAGTTGTACAACTGTGGTACATACAACTCGTATATTCAAACAAAAAATATTTTCTTCATAATTTTATCTCACGAAATAGCCCATATTATTCACCTATAATAGAGATTCTTCAAGTGAAAGAATCCACTGTTTCTTTTAAATTTCAACATTAGAAACGAAGAAATATAAAATATCAAGTTTTTATTGTTTATAATATTAAATATATTAGATATTACAAATAGAACAAAATCTGATCAAAACTTAAGTTGACCGTTGCCTATAGTTATAAATAGCATCACGGATATCTATCACAATGTACATTGGACCACCTTGTTGGTCTATTTGTTGTTTGGCTTTTGTTAGTTTGAAATTAGATGGCGCTGTGTAAGTTGTTAATTAACGTGTGAAAACTTCACATTTACTTTGTACTATTTATAATCCTTTGCTGAAACTCGTTCTATATCTGTTTAAGAATTATTATTAAAAAAATCGTTTAAATCCTTCACTACCGGTTTCTAAATGGGAAAATAAATTCAATGTAAAAAATGTAATGCCAGTCCCCTAGAGTCGGCTACAATGCTCTCTATACGTCATTAACGAAGCTTTTTCGCCACTTCGCAGAGTAATATAATACGCGAGTTATTGTACTTTATACGGTAATGTTTTGTTCAGGTCACGTGTTCTCAATGCACTTACAGTTGGTCTTATTTGCTGTGGTTTTCATTAACATGGCTCTTTGTTGCACAGGATTAAAAGTGTTTCGTGTGGTTTTTTTTAGATTTATTTCATTTTCTATTAGTATAGCAAGAATTACTATTCGTATCTGAAAATTAACAGTGTTAGGCTTTTGAATGGCATGAAATTTACAAGATGCCTGACCAGCGTGGTAGTCTAGCGATGACATGTCTTCCGATATCCCGGATTATTATGAGTCTCTCTTTGTAATTGTTATCATCTTCCGATGTTGCGGATTCACACAATGTGAATAATTATAAGAGAGACTCATAAATACAAATATAATCATTTATATTTATCAGTCTCTCTTGTAATTGTACAACTTTGTTGTGAGATTATTGTAAGTAAAAGCTATACTTTGTTGTTAATTATATGAATAGTCCAGTCTTATTTATCTTTAATACTTTTAAGTAAATTACGTGCTCTGTTATAGAAATGTAAAATAAAAAAATACTAAATTTAGAAAAAGTATATGTTAAATAAATATTTGATGCCATAAAAAAGAAAACAATATTATCTGTATATCATGCAGTTTAGATCTGATCCCATTTCGTTGTTTTTTCATAAGGTATCTTACATTACTTCAACTCCTTCGTTAAGAATGACTACACTTTGTTATATATGCAATGTTGCCATAATGTCAATGTTTATGGATAACAGTTTCATATCAGTCTATAATCATGTCGTTTATAAAAAAGATAAAATCACTAAATTTATATTTACTATATTTGTAAATATGAGTTACATGTGTTTATATTTATATATCTATGTAGGTATGTATATATTCAAAATATAGTATAATTTGTGTTATTTTATAAGATTTATTTGTATTATTATTCTGCCTCTATTATTATTTATTACACATTGTTCTATTCTCTTCAGGCGCCACCTATCACTTGGATTTTTTTTCTCTACGATAAGACCGCCTTTTGTACATCTATATCTCTTGTCTGTACAATTCTTAATAATTTGGACAGGCTTCCTAATGAATCAATAACTGAAAGCCTATGAATTGCAAAATATTAATTTTGTGGAAGGTGATTTGATTTTTTGTACAATGTACAAAATATGCTTTGTGTAGTATATCATATTGCAATGTAACCTGAGTCCAAGTGGGTGCTTTTACTTTCTAAGAACAAAGAGTGGCACATTATAGTGTGCCACTCTTTGCCCTTAGTAAGTGAAAGCAAGAAAGTTCAATATATGGGGTTGGATAAAATGAATTTACAGAAGTGATATTTGATAAGAAAGTATTTAAGATGATTCTAATGAAATTTGATTGCAATTGTGAAATAAAATAATAAACAGACTGCATAGTAGTTATTAAATTAATGAAATACGATGGAATAGTTTTGAACGACAATATCTTAAGTAACACAAAATAAATCTTAAATGCTTCATGGTACATGTTTGGATATTTATAAATGTATAAAAGTACATGACATGCAATAAACACCATGTAGTAGCCTGCAAACATTGAAAATGAGATCATAATTAAATCAAAATAATGTTATATAATTATACATTTATTTTATTTAACTGTATAATACACCTTCTCCAATGTCTTCCGTCAATTCTATTAATGTTTCGTAATTTTAATTTTAATGTATTAAAATATATTTTTCTTTCTTTGCAGAAGCAGTGACGAGATCCCGCGAATGATTTCACATAAAATCCCATTAAATTACTATAGAACAACTAAATTAAAATTAAATTTAGATAATCTAATATTATGTGATAACGAGTGTCCAACTGTGTAGTGTTATAGTTGTTTGTAGTCGGCCATTTTGTTTTGCAAGATGGGCGCCATTTCGAATGTGTTCCGATTGAGGACCGGCGGCATTTTGGCGCGAGTAGTGGTGCTCCTGAGTTTAGCTGTTTATTCTTCTTATGGTAAGTGATTTTATTTTTTTAATATTTTATCATGTTTACATATAAATAAAATTGGAGTGTCTGTTTGTAATATTGAAATAACCATTTTTTTACTACATGCATATGAATACAAATTCGGTACATACACCAAAATAACATTTTTTACAATTTTTGTCTATCCGTCTGGCTGTTCCGGCTAATCTTTGAAATGGGTGGACCGATTTTGACGGAACTTTTATTGGCAGGTAGCTGATGTAATAAGGAATAACTTAGGCTACTTTTAAAGAAAAAAACTTTTAGAAATATACAGTTAATTTCCACGCGGACGAAGTCGCGGGTACTGCTAGTAGTAAATTTATTTTATACCGTCACCCAAATTTACCACAAGCCTACAACTTAAATTACTGCGAATATATAATAGAAGTAAACTCGACAAAAATTCAAAATCTTCCTCTTTTTGCCAATACAGCGAAAATACAACGCTACAATGTTTGCATTGTACCCTTAAAGTGTAACCTCTCGTGACTTATCCACTTGATTCAGTTCACCTACTTCAGAAACACTATAAATGCTGTAAGAATACTTAATAGCCTTATTAAAATGCAGGCCAAAAAAACTGGCCACACAACCGCATACAATAAATTCTATCGCCGCTTGTAAACGCGATGTAAGCAATAAAATAAATTGGGCATCTCACGAATTACACTTTCAGAGCATAGGGTGTGCACTTTATATTATCGAAACTTGTTTAAAATATATTTAATATGTGCTAATATAATACTAAAGTGTGTAATCTGTTCAGTCGTTTCATCGTTAAAAGTTAATAAACAAACAGATACAATTTCAGTATGGATTAGTCTTTTATTACTTGTATAGCTCATGTGTGGATTATTAAAAAGTCTCAGAAGTATTTTTCTCCTTAAGTAATTAAATTTTAGGTTATAAAAACTACAGTAACTTTTACATATTTTTATGTAAGTATACATTTGATAGTCGTGTCCACGCCTATTGTAGTTGAGTTTGTTTTATCGTCCGAGTTTTTATCTAATAAACTAAATATTTTCTAGTGGGTTAAATCAAAAACGTAAAATAAAGCCTGTTTGTCGACCCGATAGATTTATTAGATTTCAGGCAACATTGTTTAATAATATTGGGACGCGTGGCAACCCTAATCTCACGAATTACACGTCTCACGCGTCCTGCCCGCCACAATTTGTAGACAATTACATATTATTTGATATAATTTCTTTTGGACCACATTCAACTTGTTATTTTAAAACTTTAGACTGCTATAGAGAATTAGAGACGTCTTATTAGATTAATTTGTATAATTATATTTTTTAGATTGATTATTTTGTGTGTGCGTGTGTGTATAAAATTACCCTGAGGTGAGTTGCGTTATTTGAAAAATATTTCTCTTATTAGGTCTATCTATTTGATTTGGAATTAGTATAAAAATGTACGTTCCTGTAAAGCTCCAGCGAACACGCCTTACTTTTAGGAACTACAGTTCCACACTATAGATCTTTTACAGAAGAGACATGCATTGTTTTTAAGCGGTATTTACTGCCATTATCTGATTTTTTTTATTTATACTTATAAACAAAAATAGCTGCAAGTATAAATAATGCTCTCAACTAAGAGCCGGACGTGAACATTTTTTTGATTATATTACTGGGTGTGTAATCAAAAAGTATAAAGGTTAAGTATAAGTAATAAAGCTGTACTTGACTATCTTTCTGATGATTATTATTCGTTTTGTGATTTATACGTAACCGACATGTAGGCATAGTTTATAATAATAATAGTAAATATCTACTAAGAACATGAAATTCCATGTAAAATTATACATATATGATATTCGAATGTAAGACAATATGACTACGTATATTGATTAACAACTTTACAGAGAGCTGTAACCGCCCACAGCTACGCATGAACGACAAGGCTATGAATTATTAAAGCTCCCGTTGAAGTTATCAAAAAGATAAATATATCGTTATTCTTCAAATATTTCTAGTTCTAAGAACTTGCTATTTAGTATTCTTTCATAGACAGCAAAGAAAGTCTGTGACATTTGTATAAGATTAATATTTACCAGCTTACTATGTGACTGCATTCACATGGTCGATATTTAAGACAAAATATTGTAAAATCAAAAGTTAATTAACAGCTTTAAAACTAGACCTTATATTTTATCAACATAACCATGAGCTTGGAACATAAGCTATGAATGAATAAATAAAAAAAAATTACCTTAAAAAAATTCAATATTGGTCTCGATCCCAAATACTGTGATATACCTAGTATATGATACAAGCGTATGGCTTATTTCATGATGCCTAAGGCTTCAAAAACAACAAAAATTTTTTTGGAATTCTATTGTTACGTTTTATTAATATTACATAATATAGTGGCTGTCGCTGTCCCTATGTATCCTTAAATCTTTAAAACTACGCAACGGATTTTTTAAATAGATAGAGTGATTCTAGAGGAAGTTTTATATATATAATACATATACACCCTTGCGAAGCCGGGGCGGGTAGTTAGTATAAAATATTATATAAAATATGAATAAGAATTGACAAGCAATAACGTATAAACGTTATTAAACCTATATAAAGTTGAAAAAAGGAAAAGCTATCGTGCGCTACACAAATATCATTGCTGAAGAAAGCTATCCGGAAAATATATTTGGTGTTAAATCCGACGAATATACTATTACATTTAGTATTGTGGGTATTAAAGTTAAATAAATACGTATTTTTACTATCTAATGCATCTACATCATCAGATACCACAAGTTGTAACTCATTATCACAACAAAGAGCTGCACGTTGCGCCATCGCTCGCTCTATGCTGTTGATAATGCCTTTTAGATTAGGCTTAATAAAAAAAGCAGCACGTGTATACCGCAGTGTGGCCCCGAGTGTAGTGTGATTATTAGGTATATTAGGATGTATGAGATGACTGCAAATGATGCTAAATTATATGTTCAACTTGGTTTATAATAATTATGTTTCTACAAACTTTTATTTAAATTGCGCCATATGTAATGAATTTCCGGTTAAATTATTTGTATGGATAATAATATAATGGTGCACCCGCTAGCTCTACTGGTATACTATGGCGGGGCAAGTGCATTTAGAATGTTAGAATGAGCATGAAACCAGGATGGTTTCTATGGGAAACCGCGTGGAGGTCGACATGACATTGATTGCAATGTTTTCCCTAATCCTCGTTACTACCAATCTTCTCCATATTTGGAAGGATTTGGCATCCGAATTATGTTTCAATTGGAGTCTAGCCTGAAATGCAGGCGAGTTAGCCGACTTATGTACGACAGTGAACAATATTTAATTTAAATAAGAAGCATTGTTAGCAAAGAATCAATTAATTATCACTAAAAGAGATCTCTTCCAGTCGACCCTATACAGCGTGACGTAGGAAGTGGAGAATGAGTAAAAGAAAACAAAGTAAATGTCAGTATATATAAATGTAAATGACGAACAGATATCGGTTAGGTTAATTAAATATTAATTTATTTCACTTCATTCCACGTCCACGTGGAACCAACCCCCAAAACACCACTATCCTAGTCTACACAACGGTGAAAACCACATCAAAATAAATTCACTCATAGTTGTAAACTTACAGACGCAAATTCAATTTGCTGCAACTTCGAGATTCAAACCCGCTAACCAAACAGAAATCCGGTCGACACACTAATTAGAGTTCACACAACCCTTCTGAGCCTCAATTATCCGAGTAATTAACCCTTCATAAGCCCGTTCGACCGCTGAATCCGACCGGGACGTTTAGACGTAACCTGGAATGCTGCGGCGTTTTAGTGTTTGACTATAACCTGAACCGCCTGTTATGGACTACTTTCTCTGTGCTTTGTAAATAATAATAATATAGACTTTCACGGCGATTGTGTTTTCTTGTTCGGAGAGTTAGTGAAAAATATAAATAAACACTCATTTTTTCTACGGTGTTTGCTTGATCTGAAAGCACTAACTATTCGGTATAATTCGGGGTAGTAAACCCAATTAGGTCACGATAATTTCTATTCCCATTTATATTTAATATCATAACTACGAAAATGTCTGTCTATCTGTTTTACCTTTAACCGTAATAACGACTTTTGACGACAAAACCACGCGGCGACGTGAAGATAGATTGTGTCACGTTCTCGTGTTCAGACTTTGTCTTTTTTTTATAGCATAGCGATATTATATCTTATATAAACGAGCTTGCGGCTCACCTGATGGTAAGTGTTTCCCGCCGCCCATAAGCACCTGCAACATCAGGGGAATTGCAAGTGTCTTGTCGTCTGCTTTTGTTGAGATAGCCAATTATATAAAAAAAGGTAGACAAATTCGCGGTCAGCAGCTAGCATTTAATAAAAGTAAACACAACAAGTTGTATTTAAATTAAACTACAAGACTGAAGTCTAGTCCTCAGAAATGGCAATGCATGACGCTACCACGAGTATATTCATGTCAGTTTCTTTATCACTCCGATTACATATAAAAAAAACACTTGATAATTTTATTTATACTGCCTTACTCCTGAGATATTAGCGCCAATATACTAGATTGCCCTACACTCTCTTACAGAACACTGGGTTCCCACTCGAACGTTTGATAACGCTTTTTGTGTGTCCGTCTACTGCTTTTTGTTTGTCTGGTTGGACAATGCTTGTAAAAACATACGTTAAGGTGTAGTTCGACAAAAGCGAGTCATTCCCTTTTTTCATCTACTACTTCATATTTTAGGAGCATTCACGTTAAACGTATTTTATATTAAAGTATTTTCTTTCTTAGAATGTCGTGTGTAATTGAATAGTTTTCTTTCTTGCATTTGTTTTATCGTTCTCGACTGCATTTATGAAAAAGTTTGTACTTTGCTTGTTTAAACCGACCTTGTTGCTCGTTTTTAAATAGCTTTACCTTTTATTCTGTGCTCTTTGTAAATGACAGTACTTCTTTTTTGTTTTATACTTTTAACAATCAGTA